TCATTTCCTTTTTATATGCCACTAATTTTTTCTCTACTTGTGCCTCTATTTGTTTGGCTATGTTTGCCTGTGTTTCTTTAAGGGTTTTGTCTATTTCTTCTTTCTTTATCTCCAATTGACTGGCCAACTCTTTGAAAGATTTGTTCATTTCCTCCTTATGAGCCTCAAATAATTGAGCAAGCATGGCTTTAAGGTCATTTTCCTGTGCTTCTGATGAATTGGAGTATCCATCGATTTTGGGGTTTGCTGGTGAAGTCATGATGTCCTGATTTATGTTGGAAGTGTTCTTTCGCCTACCCCTGGCCATTGGCTTATCTGAGACCTTCCCTGTTTGTTTTTGGATTTTGCCGATCAGACTGGTACTGTCTCTCTCTCGAGTCTGGAGAATTCTTCAGGAAGTTGAGAGAGGTCCCGTGTCCTTAGCGTGTGCTGAGGACTAGCTGTACCTGTGGGAGGAAAGTACGCAGGCGCCAACAGAGGCAAATGCAAGCGTGCGTGCGTGTGTATGTGTGTGTGTGTGTGTGTGTGTGTGTGTGTGTGTGTGTGTGTGTGTGTAAGTGGGCGTGGGCGTGTGTCTCAAGGGACAGAGTGATGGCTAATGTTGGACCCTTGAGTGTGTGGGAGGGGCTCTGCAATGTATATGTCGCAGGCGCTAGTGATGATTGCAGCACAATTTCTGGCATTAACTGCCTTAACTCCTCAATTAGACCCACAGAGCAGGCACTTCAATGTTCCAAGTGCCCCTCTGTTTCCCAAAGTGGGTATATGGGTGGGAGGGGGTTTGATGCCTGGCTTCTGTTTTAGCAGGACCCAGGATCAGTGGAGCTGCAGATTCTCAAGGGTTCACTCACTTACAGGTAGGTCATTTGGCAGAGATCGGGGTATCTGGGCACTCTGCTCTCTGGTTTGGCCCTGCTTCTTTGATGTGCTCCGCCAGTTCCGTGCTGTTGTCACTGCCAGGTTATGAGGTCTTGCTGCAGCTGGAGATTTCAGGGTGGTCACGTCAGTGGGAATCGGGGTAACCAGCCTTTCTGTTCTCTGGTTTGGCCCTGGTTAGTCTTAAACTGGAGGGCTGATGTGCCCTGCCAGCTCAGTGCTGCTCCGCGGCCAGGTTAGAAAGTCCCGCTGTAACTGGAGACTGGGTTGCTAGTCCAGATGCTTTCTGGGAAGTCCTGGGGTCTCTTCACTGTGCTCACCAAGCTTCGGAGGCCCAGCGCCTGGTGTGTCTAGCTTGTATGGTGTTTCTGTCTGGTTTTGGTGAGTATATAGCGTATTCTCTGTCACTGTGGGATTGGGCGGGCTGTACCGTCAGTGATCGCGATCCTGCGGAGCTAGTATGGCATCTAGCAGACTCGGGCCCTGGGAGGATGGTGCAGCCGCCGCGCGAATCTGGGGCTCCAAGACAGAGTACTGCTGGCCTTTGCCGATAAAGGGCTTGGGGCTCCGCCTCAGTGGCTGCAGGCCCCAGGCAGTTAGGTCTGCGCTGAGAAAGGCGAGTCTGAGAAAGGCGAGTCCGCTGTGCCGAGGAGGAGGGAGGTCTGGGGGAGGGGAGTGCCGAGAGATCAAAGGATCGTTTCTTACCTTCCCCAAACAAGTCCCTGGGTGACCCGAGACCAAGGTTTTCACCTCCTGCAATGTTCCCTGTTGTGTAGAAAGTCTCTCCGTTGTTTCCCTGGCTTCAGAAGTTCTTCCACTCATCAACTCAGAACTTTATCTCTTCCACAGCTCGGAAACTGTGTGTGCTAGTCGCCATCTTGGCTCCGCCCCCCTACCTGTTGTTTTATAACATAATCCTGAGGTAGTCTTGCTTTTACTTTACTTTAATTGATTAATAATTGTTAAATATGTGGTCTTACTGTGTTGTCCAGGCTAAGCTCAAACTCACGATCCTCTTTCCTGCCTTAGACTCACTAATAGCTGGAATTATAGGCATTTGCTGTCATGTCTGACTCTTGTTTTATGCTTTGTTTTTTACTTCCTCCCATTTTGTCAGTCAGGAAATCACTCTGACACAAAGAGCCATTTTTGTGACGTGAAATACAATTAAAAAATGAAAGTAAGGGGTTGAAGAGAGAGCTCAGTGGTTAAAAGCACGGCTACTCTTCTACAAGATCTGGGTTTGATGCCTGGCATCCTCATGGCAGCTCACAACCGTCTGTAACTCCAGTTCCAGGGGATCCAGTGCCCTCTTCTGGACTCTGTGGGCACGGAATGCACATGGTGCACAGGCAGGCAAATGCACCCACACCCACACAATAGTCAATTAAGAAAATAAAATGAAAGTTCATAGCAGTATGTAGGAGATATGAGAATGTTGGCAGAGAAGAACGTATGCTGGTGACCTTCACCTTCTGAAAAACTACTGTGCCCACTTTCAGAAAGGACATTTCTGAGAAATGATAATTTTTCAGTTAAAGCCTATCAGTTATGAACAAAGTGATCTCACTGACTTGATTTTTACCCAGCATTACAGATAGTTTAAAAGAACTCCAGTGATCACTAATGTGGGTCACTTAACATACTCCAAAAAACATGAGTATATGATTGTGTCTTGTGCTACACAAGGGAATGAATTCACTTTTTAAACTGTGAAAATGGTTTAAAACAAATGATACAGGCAGAGTGAAAACACTGAAGACACAATATTCCTAAAGACCAAACTACTTTTAAGAACTTCATATTCTAAAAAGAACTTCATATTTGAGAGGATTTAAACAGTCAATGCCTCAGATGTAGATTCTTTTATCTATCGGAGATGCTGAAAAAGGAAGGAAATATTTCCTATAAACATAGAAGAGAATGAAGAGGGGAAAATCAGCTTACATTCAGACCAAACCAGAATAAAATTTAGTCAAATGCTTCTAAAAATGAGGCCAAGATGAGTCTGCATCCTGCTTCACCTTCTGTTTAACAGGAATGTCCACCTCATGGAGTCATACTGACTACTGCCTGCAGGACTTAACTGACAATGCCAGGGAAAGAAAATAGCTTGCTCTTTGCACTCCAATTTTGAGATAGGGCCGACTGGGAGATGCTGCTGTTGATGGTTCTATAAACAGAACCAGGCAAACCAGGAACTGGGTTTTTAATTTTGTTTTGTTTTGGTTTGATTTTTAAAGTATTTTTCACAGACAGTAAGTTTGTGAACAGGCTTAGAAGACACAACCTGCATCATCTGTGTGTTCGGAAAAGCAACACTTTAGGCAAAGATTACCAGGCTCGTCACGGACATTTTCATCAGCAAGCAGACCTTTAGCTTCTAGATAAAGAAGGCAATGAGGATTTCATGGTCACATGTTTCCAACTAGCAAAATTAATGGTATATGACCTTGCCTGGCTCTGCTGGGAAAGGACAAGTGGGGTGCCACATTATTTGGTATCTTGGCAGAAGTTCCAATGAAATCACTTCATTTTACCAGAATAATCCACAGTGTGATCCAGGAAAAGTAAAAAATTTAGGTAGGAGGTGGGCAAAGCCCAGAGTGCAGTTTGGCAATTGGTTTTTTAGAGTCCCTGGCACAAAAGCATCTTCAGGTAATTCATCAGCCCAAAGAGGGAATCTTTTGTCACTGACACAGTTGATCCAGGTTGCATAAAAGCTGGTGCTGTGAGAAAACACGCGCCCCAGAGACTATACCTTGTTAGTACTGTGCCGACTCACATTCTCAGAAAAAATACCCAGAAGACCTGAGTCCTCACAGAGACCATAGCATGTCAGACTTGTGCCCACTCAGTCTCAGCAAAGAGCCCAGCAGACCTGAGACCTCACGGAGACCATAACATGTCAGCCCCCTGCCCACTCATAGTCTCAGCAGACCCGAGTGTGTGCTTAGCAGCCATGCTCTGCAGTTTCACTGATTGTCAAATTTAAAAGGACCCCATGAAATAGAGACAGATCTCTACAGAAAAATACATAAAAACCCAGAGCTACCTGGCACTGACCACTGGAAAGAGGGTTCTGATAGACAAATGCAAAGTTCCAGTTTCACACAAGAATCGTGGAAGTTGCAAGTTAACATAGCAAACTTAAGAACTGCTTGTGAGATTTTTCTCTTAGGACTCCAAAGTCCCTTATATGACACGTCTATAGTCTGATACTATTATATGCTACTGAAATAATAATAAATGTAATTTCACCAAATACAAACAGTACACACAGCTTACACACTAAAACAGTTGCTTCACTTTTAAAACACTAAAAGTTTGTATCTGAGAAAGTTTCTAATTCAAGTACTTCATGAAGTAAACAGCTTTGACTACTGAAATAATGCCCACCCTAACTACTTTCTCCCTTCCTGTTCTTTTCTTCCTTTGACGGAGCACTGTCTACTGTGATTTATTATCCAAGATGAATTTGCATGAAGGAAGAGCCAAATGAAGTGATGCAAGAAGACATAGAAAATATTGTTCTGAACTAGGCTTTTACCTAAGAAGAATTCTACATATTTCAGAACTTGGGGCTGGAGGGATGGCTCCGAGGTTAACAGCAGCTACTGTTAAGAGAGCGGTCACAGCTCAAGAGTCTGGGTCAGTGCCCACACAGCATCCCGCTAACAGCTGTAACCCAGCACAAGCACATCCCAGAAGGGTTCCATACTCACACGCAGGCGTGTACAACCCACGTGCACATGTGCACTCACTGACACACACATAAGTGAAATATTACACAGCAACTGGTACAGAATCTAATCCTACACAGTAAAGGAGATTCATACGGCACATACATCTTGCTAAAATGTCTATGCAAATATTCTCAAATCTGAAACTCAATAAAGTCCCACATACTTCTCTATTCAGTATTTCGAGTACATGATTCCCAACCTGCATTAGACATATTTCAAACAACTTAATAATCAGCCACAGTCATTACATCTTAGATCCTGTCTTTTCTTCACACACTGATAAAATATAATAGTGTACTTAACAAAAGGTTTCATGCTTGACTTTACAGACAATTCTATAATAACAGATTTACATTACTTATCAAATTATTTAAATACCTTTTGTAGACTGCTAGGGTTTAGCTGAGTTTTGTCTATTATTTTCACAGCTACCTAAAAAAAGAGAATCATTAAACCACATTTGAAATATATAATCCAATGCATAAACTCTACAAAGCAAACAGTTTTGTATCACTCTTAACTATGCACCATTTACTTATATGTGGATGCTCACACAACTGGAAGGAATGGTCCTGATTACTTGGGAGCCTTAACACATAATTTATTAACTTGTCATCAATATTAACTTGTCATCAAGCTCCCGATTCCACATCAATGGAATTAAGCCTTTGCTATTTCTTCCACATTTCAACTTTTAAAAATGTAAAATCATTCTCTATCTTAATATTTTTCTTAAAATCTTGATAGGCAACATTATATAAGGAGAGGGCCTTTAAACTTGTATTTTCTGGCAAATGAAACTATTGTGCAGGCAGAGAAACTGGATACAATTTCTAATAGCAAACTAACAAAAGGGATTTGAAACTCTTTGAAGGCTCCAGCTAGTGCAGCCTGTGTCTAGACAGCTTCTGGGGTAGAATGGACAAGAAGGAAGACACTCAATGGGATCACAATATCATTATGTGTATAGCAAGTGAGAGTTTACTAACATTCTGTGGTTGAGATTTGGAAAAAAAGTAATCCAATCCTAATGAAAAACTTTGGATATATACTGAAATAGCCTTTAACTCTTCAGTACACACTATAAATTTATAGTGCACATACATAAATACATACATCTTTACTGTACAACAATAATTTTAAATACATGGGATTAGAAGGATGTGTTCCTATAAGCCAATAATCTCAGCACTTAGAAAGTGGAAACAGAAAGAACCAGATTTCAAGGCCAGTCTCTGCTGGGTAACAAGTTCAAAGCTAGTCTGGGCTACAAGAGACCCTGTCTAACCCCTCTACAAACAAACAAACAAACAAACAAACGGTATTTTAGAAGTACATTCTCTTGTCATATGAAAAAATTATCTGCATAGTATCAATATTTGTTTGATGTTAAAACCAAACAAATAAAGGTCAGTGTGTGCTTTTCTACACGTTTACCCCTATCTCAGCCTAAGCAGTGATTTATAGAAACTTATCCCAGCCTCATTCTAAAGGCAAGTAGCACATGACGGATAAGCTGAGGACAGCTAACCTGCAGCACAGTCTACAAGAGATGCTGTAGTTAAAAGGTCAGCAGTTCTGCCACCTGTCTGCAAATGCTCTGTTGTGTATATATCCCAGTGTGCACCAGCTCACAGGTACCCTTCATTCTCCAGTACCAACTGTGAGAAAGCTTCTAACAAGGCTCTGAGCAAGGGCCAGGCAAATGTCAAATAGCATTATGAAAACTTACCTCTCTACCTGTCAGGACATGTCTTGCCAATTTCACTTTGGCAAAGTTTCCCTTTCCGATTGTTTTCTGTAAGCGGTAATTTCCGATATGAGGCTGTTCATCCGTGGCTGATGTAATGGAGTTTCTACACCTGGGAATGTTCTGTCTGCTACTTGATTTGGTAGGCGGGATGTGTGCTTCAGGGTATCCATCCACAGAGGTATGCTAGGAAAGAGCACAAGAGCTCACGGTCACTAAGACTCCTACGAAAGGACAATGAAAAGACAGCAAATAGCCAGGTGGTAGCGGTGTACACTGTTAACCTCAGCATTTGGAGGCGGAGGCAGTCAGATCTCTGTGAGTGCAAGGCAAGCCTGGTCTACAGAGCAGTTGTTCCAGGACAGCCAAAGTTACACAGAAAAATCATGTCTCGAAAACAAGCAAACAATACAAATAATGTTCATTAACAGTTCATCTGCAATGAAAGAACATCATAATACACGATATTAAAATGTGAACATTGTACCGCTTATCATTTTTTCTAACCAGTGGGTACAAAGAAAAATTTCCACACATCTTTAAGTCTGTATTTTGATTTTCAAAATAGTTAAATGGTTTGTTGGGTACCTCACAGACTACTGTTCCTGTAAAGGCTGTTGCCATTTTAGGTTGAATGACAGTGTCCATGCCAACCTCATTAGAAGAGCAGCATCCTTTGATCACCTTCCCCTGACGGGGGCGCAGCCTTACAAGGCCACAGAGGAAGACAATGGAACCAGTCCTGATGAGACCTGATAAGCTAGGGTCAGAGAGAAGGGGAAGAGGACCTCCCCTATCAGTAGACTGTGAGAGGGGCATAGGAGGAAAATAGGGAGGGAGGATGGGATTGGGAGAGAATGAGGGAGGGGGCTACAGCTGGGAAACAACGTGAATAAACTGTAATTAATAAAAATAAATAAATTAAAAAAGAAGAAGAACAGCATCTTCATTACCACAACAAACATCCTCACAAAGACAGCTGGTTCCCTAATCAAGGGCTTCTTAATCTTTTCTACTTGTCGACCTTAATCTTTTTTGTTTTGTTTTGAAACAGGGTCTCATATATACTGGACTGCCATCAAACTATGTAGGGTAAAAATGAGCCTGAACTTCTGATACTCCTGCCTCCACCTTCTAAATCTTGAGACCACAGGAGTGTCTCACCATACATGGTTTGGTGCTGGGAATCAATTTGACAGGACCTAGGAGACAAGTCTCTTGGAATACCTTTGCGGAATTATATAAATGAGGTTAACAGAGGTGGGAAAACCCAGCTCAACTATGGGTGCCACCACCCCATAGGCTGAGGTCCCAGAATGAATAAAAGGAGAAGGTGTGCTGAGTGCCAGCGTCATCTCTCTGCTTCCTGACTCTGGATGCAGTTATGACCAGCTGCCTCACACTTTTGCCAACATGCCTTCCTTGCCATGAAGGGTGGCATTCCCTTGCACTGTGAGCCAAAATAAAATAAATCCTTCTCTTGTGTAGCTTCCTGTCAAAAATTTTGTCATAGCAATGTGAAAAGTAACTAATATACACTCTAACCCTCGAAACTCCAGAAATATACTTATGTACGTATGTGCTGAGAAATGGTGGCAGGAAAAATTTTAAAGTCTTTATTTTCCATAATTAAAGCGATGTTTCTATAAGGGAAGAAACCCTTTTTTGTATAGTAATACACTGTAATTTGTAATATACGAAAGTCTGAACTCTGAGCCAATGTTTCAGGCAGCATTTGTTGGCACTGTGTGATGTAATGGTGCTGCAGGTGTTGTGTGTTCAAAACCCCAGGCTGCAGTGAAGCCACACACTGTGAACTATGGGAATGCTGCCAGAGACACATTGGATCCATTATGTATAAATGAATACATTGGTAAATCATCACAAGCTGTCTGCACTCGTTGGCGGTGGACTCCAGGACTAAGGTGGGCTCCTTTCTCAGATGCAAGCAGGTTTGCCTCAAGAGTCCTCTGAGACTCCTATCCTGGGGCAGGCTAGCTCCCTGCCCTTGTAATGGGGGGGGGAGAATAATAAACAGATAAGGTATTAAAAACGCTGTGTGCAGACTGGAGAGATGGCTCAGTGCTTAAGAGTGTGTACTGCTTTTGAAGAAGACCCAAGTTTGGTTTCCAGGACTCTCATCCAGTAGCTCTCAACTGCCTGTAACTCTAGCTCCAGGGGATCTGATGCTGCCATTAGACTTCCACAGGCACTGTACTTACACATACAAACCCACACACAGACACAGAGACACATAATTAATAAGAATAAACTCTTTAAAACCAAAACACTGTATCTTTGTGAACAGCTAGAAGGTAAACCATTTCCAACAAGAGTTAGTACTGTTTTGTTTAGCTAGTTTCTACTTGCTGTTTGTTCTTCAGTTATAGATCACTGCACAGTATAATCCCTGGGATGAAAACAAGAAGCCAGAAGTTCATCCATGGATAGATGCTGTTAGATGCTTTTTTAGTTAGGGTTTTGTTCATTGCTGTGAAGAGACACCCTGACCAGGGCCACTCTCATAAAGGAAAACATTTACTTGGGGCTGGTTTACAGTTTCAGAGGTTTAGTCCATTATGGTCATCGCAAGAAGCTTAGCAGTGTGCAGGCAGACATGGTGCTGGAGAAGGAGCTGACAGTTCTACATCTTGATTCCCAGGCAGCAGAAGGAGACTGTGTGCCACACCAGGCATAGCTTGAGCATGTATGAGACCTCAAAGCCTGTCCCCACAGTGATATACTTTCTCCAACAAGGCCACACCTCCTAATAGTGGCACTCCCTATGGGCCAAGCATTCAAACACATGAGTCTGTGAGGGCCATTCTTATTAGACCACCACAAATGCCCACTTGGAAACTCCAGCATGACTTTCAGCAGGGTTTCCCAGCCATTTCTGCAGGAGCTTGTAATTGCCTGACTTGATGCTGCTTTGCTATTACCTGCTGCTGTTTTGCTTGGAACTCTCACTCTACCACAGAAAATCACTCTGCTCTGCCTGGGACTCTCAGGCAGAGACTCTAGCTACATGCTCAATGGAGTGTCCTCAGTCTTTTCTGCTGGAAGCTGAAAACACCAAATCTGATGGTGTTATGTCTGCTGCTTGCTATCTGTTCTCTCCCTTTCCCTTGTTCTCTCAGTTGGATTACTCTAGTGGTTTTTATCAGATGTTGTAAGTATCCACTTTGATGCTTTGTAATCTGTTATTTGCTGGCTGTTCTTCAGTTATTGTAGATCATTCCCTGGATAGAACAAGCACATTCAGAAACTTTTCACTGTTTCTTTTCTTTTTTGTGCCCCCCACATTTTGTTACATAAACCTGTATGGGTCATGATCAGCAGTTTAATAAGCTGGGTTCTAAACTAACTCAGTTGCTTGAGCTAGTCACTTTCTACTCTTCCTTATGTTTGCTAGGCAAATAAAGCCAACTGCCAATCAGTTGCCCACTTCAAGTATATCCCTAATCAATTCCTGTCCCACCTCCTCACTCAGCTTACTATGTCCTGGAGAAAGGGAGTGAGATCCCCGCCTGGGCCCGCGGTCCAATATCTACTGCACTCCTCCTGAGTGCTGTTCTTCAGGCAAAAATGTTGGTTTTCTTGCTCACAACATTAGTAGGTAGTCAGTCCTACTACTCAGCAGGGGTCAGGAGAGTTAGTCTCAGGCTGGCTGCCTGTCAGCTGTTCATCTAGCTCTAACTGTTCTCTCCCATCTAGTTTTATCTGCATTCTCATACACATGAAATTTCTACCTGGTTTTGTTAAAAGTATGGAATTATGCATGATAAATATAACCTCTTTGTCTAACTTAAGAAAACAGGTGAAGATGAACAGAACACGCTAGCAAAGGAGGAGAATTTGCAAAGTAATCAATTCAGTCTCATGTTATCTGTAACATTTTAGACAGAAATTTCAGGGAACAGTAGAGATTAATCTATTTATTAGTCTTAAGCAAAGCACAACTGTGTTTCTTTATCTTGCTATTGTTGTGTTCTGACTTTTCCCTTTGGTTCTGGGGTTCTAACCCAGGCTTTGCGCTTGCGGGGCAAGTGCTTTACCTCTGAGCTACAGCCATACCCACCTGATGTTTTCTAATTTGGGGGCTTGCTTTAACACAGCTCAGAGTTAGCAGGTTGGGGTTTTCTCTGGTCTTCTGGCTGCATCCTGAGCTGGATGTACTATATTCTCACAGCGACCCATGCTTCCATGCAATGCAGCACCCACCTTCCTGCTACTGTCAACTGGATCTTGCTTGTCTGTCTTTGGTATTCCACAGTGAGTGATGTGGGGAAGGGTGTTCTCTTCCACACTGCAGAGTGCCAGGTACACAGAGAAAATTCAACAAATAGTTCTCAGAACTTATCCCTGGACCAGCATCATCTAGAAACTGGTCAGAAACACAGAACCTCCTGCTGTGTTCTGTATCCTTTGAATAAGAAACTTTAGGCAAGTTATGGTGGCACACCTTTCATCCCAGCACTGGGGAGACAGGCAGGTGCTGTGAGTTCCAGGCCAGCCTAATCACTTGGTGCTAACAAGTCCCCAAGGTGTTCTGATAAATACAGAAGCTTGAGAGCTACTGCAGAAAATAACATAAAAAGCAGGTAAATACAATCATGTGTACTGGCTCTCCAAGACTGCTGTGTTGCTTGAGCACATGCAAAAACTTTGTTTCTATTCAGTTTCTTGGAATTACCAGGATTCTACTGTATTTCTCCCAAACAGTACTTTTCTATTCGAACCAGTTTGGAAAGGGAAGATGACCTGTCCATCTTTTGGGATCTAATGTGAATAGCTCCTTCTCCATAAAGTCTTTTCTCTTTTCAAACAGGAGATCATGATTCCTTCTGCTTGCTACCTTTGTTTAGTAAATACTTCTACTTTGGCTGTCACCATACTGTCCAGGGTCTGCTCCACTGTAAGCCTAATGTTTACAACTTCTGGTGCTAAGCACAAAGGCGACACCGATATGTGATAAGACAATAGATGGAGTTCAGGGTCCCCACTGTCTTGGCACCTACATGGAATGATTCTAAGGAAGGAATGCTGACTACGCAGCTCTGCCATGTGGGTAAGAGAAGTATGAACAAGAACATTTGAGACAAACTCACATGCTGAGCGCGGCTGTAAACGGCATAGTCTCACTGAGCTGCCACAGACTTACTAGTGTCAAACTTCCGCACAGT